ATGGGTGGGTGTAGGGGTGGAGATTGGTGGGTTTAGGGGTGGAGATGGGTGGGTTTAGGTGTGGAGATGGGTGGGTTTAGGCGTGGAGATGGGTGGGTTTAGGGGTGGAGATAATATGGCAAATATATTTACATGGCCATTATATCTGAATTTATTGATGTATGGTTTGTTAGGATAGGATAATATTTGAGATACAACTATTTGAAAATCTGGAATCTGAGGGTGCAAAAGAACTGCCTTTAAAGTTGTCCAAATTAAGTTCTTAGCGATGCATATAACAATCAAAAATTAAGTTTTGATATATTTACAGTAGAACATTTACAAAATATCTTCATGGAACATGATTTTTGGCATAAAAGAAAAATCAATAATTTTGACACATACAATGTATTGTTGGCTATTGCTACAAATATACCCCAGCGATTTAACGCTGCTTTTGTGCTCCAGGGTCACATACGTCTGTGTGTTGTGTGTGCTTTCTAGCCCATCTTCACTATGAGTGCGCAGCAGAATCAGCTGAAGGACGTCACTGACAGAGATTTCATCAGCTTCATGAATTCATACAAACACAATTCTGTAAGTCACTCTCAGTGTGATGGTTTGGAGAAGCATGTTGTTCTAGCAACGCTGCTCTTTAGTCGTTGTGTCAAGTGCAGTTCAATCTGTTTCTCAGAGTGCACTGCAGTTCTTGGAGGCGTATACAGCGGAGGACGTGACTGTGGCAGAGCTGGAAGGAAGCTCGAACTCTCTCTGGACCATCAGTCCTCCCAGCAGAAAGAACCTGATGGAGGTCTTGAGCAAAGAGGACCAGTTCCCTGTGACCATGTCCTGGAGCATCCAGAGGTACAGATACAGTGCATCACCTGGGGCCTCATTTATAAAACTCTCCGTAGATTTCATCCTAAAACTGTACAAGAACCTAGATTTTGTGTATGCATGTATAAAGCCATGCCAGAACCTGTGCAAAAATCCCTTTATAAATCCCAGTCAGGGGAAGAGTGTGCATGCGTGCATCTCCCCCCCTCCATACATAAATGAGACCCCTGGACTGGCCCTTTCACTTTTAGATATATACAAAATATAATACGATTACAGTATTCAGATACACTACCATTCAAAAATAAGTCTCTTCTGCTCACCAAGGCTGCTTTTATTTAATCAAAAATACAGTAAAAATTGTGAAATGGTTTTACAATTTAAAATAGCTGTTTTCTATGTGAATATGTGTTAAACTGTAATGTATTTCTGTGATGCGCAGCTGTATTTTCAGCATCATTCCTCCAGTCTTCAGTGTCACATGATCTTCAGAAATCAGTATAATATGCTGATCTGCTGCTCGAGAAACATTTCTGATTATTATCAATGTTGAAAACAGTTGTGCTGCACAATATTTTTGTGGAAACAGTCATGCATTTTATTTTTCAGGATTCACAGATGAATAGAAAGTTCAGAAGAACAGCATTTATTTTAAATAGAAACTTTACTGGCACTTTTGTTAATTATAAATGTCTTTACTGGCACTTTTGATAAATTTAATGCATCCTTGATCAATAAAAGTATTAATTAAAAATAATAATAAAAACAAATCTTACTTTTTGAACAGTAGTGATTACATTAGTGTATATAAGAATACAATGACGTCCAAAAATCATGGTAGTGGTCATTTATTCTAGTGCAGTTCTCCGGTGCATTGCAGTTTCATCATTAAACACTAAATATATCCCATAATACTTCTCTCTTGTGCAGGAATCTGAGTCTGGGAGCAAAGGCTGAGTTTGCAGTGGACAAACACATCACATATCTGGACATGAACACTAGACAGGAGCTGATAGCGTTACTCAATGGAACCAGAAATAAACCTGTGTAAGTACAAATTCAACATTTAAATCGTGCATTTCATACTTACATCAATGCTTGTATTTATGATCCATTTTCTCATTCACAGGGTCATAGAGCAAGTGTTTCCCTGCTTTATTCGAGCACCGAGTGACTCAAACGCCAAACCAGTCGGTCAGCTTTATTCAGGTAATGCAGAATCAGGATGACTTTCTCCATGAATACTGACGTCAGCTGTAACTCTCACATCTCATCACTCCCTCTGTGCCAGATGAGGGTTATAAGAGCATCCAGCTGGACTTGGAGAGGTCTCACAACGGCACGGAGGACATTCAGGAGTGGTGGATTGTGGACCAGCCGTCGGCAGGGAAGATCCAGATGAGATCCGAGTCAAAGCTGGAGAAGAAGAGAGAGGCAGGACTGCAGCTGTACGTCTTCAGTGATAAAGTCAGTCCTCCCAGCCTGGGCTTCTTGGCAGGTTACGGGTGAGTCACGGGAGACCGTCCCAAACATCTCTGAGCACGCAGTTCAATCATCACCAGTTTCACTTTTTCGTTTTTGTAAAATGACAGATTTTGTGGTTGCATCACATTGACTATTTAATGCACTGTTAGATGTGCAGTTGTCATGCATTACAGAAAAAAAACATTAGAAAGTCTTTCATAAGACACAACAATGATTACAGTTATTAAAAGTAAGAACAAATGACAAACAATAGGTAGGAAAGGTACAAAATAGTACAGAAATGAATCAAATGTAAAATAAAGCATTGCATAGTCTTCACTGTATAATTTAAATACAGATTAATCCTTATTATAGCTACTAAAGTGAATCAGTCAAGATCAGAGAGTGATTTTCTCTGTCTTTTGTTGTTTGATTAACATTAATGACAGACAGCATCAGGATTATTAGACTGCTGTCACTTTAAGACCTATCGCACCGCAGTCTACATTCACTTGCAGCCTACGGTTTTTATGTGAATACTCGACAAGACAGACATTTTTACACAAGTGTGTGTGACAGTTGGCTTTCTCCATACATGCCTCAGTCAGCGCATTGTTTTTTGCGGCTTGACTTTTGTACAAGCAGCATTGCTTTTTCTCATTCATGCATGTTTATTAGTGGTCGACCGGTATATTGCCAAGGCAATGAAAACCTACTTTTTCGAACTCCTCCTAGACCATTTGTCCAATTTTCACCAAACTCAAGTCCAAACGTATGGATTTCGTGTCGATAGATGAATTAGTTCTCATTTACCACATCAACGAATTTGATGGCATGATGCCAAACTGCATCTGAGACCACACCACATCAATTCAGTAATTAGACCTATTGGTCAAAAATGATAAACCATTAAATCAGATCACTAGTGATTTATGATTTTTCAACCATTTTGACTAAAATCATCTCAAAATGTATTTAATTACTCATTTTTGTTGGTGTGATGCTTCCTGCCATGCTTAGGTCCTCATTCTGCCTTGGATAAGTTCACTTCCAGAATAAAAATGACCTGATAATCTACTCACCCGCATGTCATCCAAGATGTTCATGTCTTTCGTTCTTCAGTCGCAAAGAAGTTAAGGTTTTTGAGGAAAACATTCCAGTATTTTTCTTCATATAGTGGACTTCAGTGGTGCTCAATGGATTGAAGGTTAAAAATGCAGTTTCAATTCAGCTTCAAAGAGCTCTACACGATCCCAGCCGAGGAATAAGGGTCTTATCTAACGAATCATTTTCTGGGGGAAAAAAAAAAATAACTTTTTAAACCACAAATGTTGGGCTTGCTTTAGCTCTGCGATGTCCGTCTTCACACATTACGTAATCATGTTGGAAAGGTCACGCACATTAGTTCTTCATCTTTGTACTTTGGTTAAAAACTCCATCTCATTTACTCCTCCAACTTTAAAATCATCCGACATCGTTGTTTTACCTTTTTTGTAAAGTGCAATGACTTTTTACTTAAGTCGGTACTTCCGCCTACGTGACGTAGTGCCTACATGACCTTTCCAACATCACCTAATAAAGACGTATAAATAATTAAAAACTGTATAAATAAAAACAATTTTTTTTAAGAAAATGACCAATCGTTTTGCTAGATAAGACCCTTATTCCTCGGCTGGGATTGTGTAGAGCCCTTTGAAACTGCATTTTTGGACTTTCAAATCACTGGCCACCATTGAAGTCCACTATATGGAGAAAAATCCTGGAATGTTTTCCTCAAAAAAACTTAATTCCTTTCCGACTGAAGAATGAAAGAAAGACATGAACATCTTGGATGACATGGTGGTGAGTGAATGAATTGCTGCTTGTTGATGCTCTGGATCGCGGCTGCAGATGTAAGTAAGGCCTCGCTGTGTCTCTTGCAGTATCATGGGCCTCTACGCATCCGTGGTGCTGGTGATCGGGAAATTCGTCCGCGAGTTCTTCAGCGGCATCTCGCACTCCATCATGTTCGAAGAGCTTCCGTGCGTCGACCGCATCCTCAAACTCTGCACCGACATCTTCCTCGTGCGGGAAACCGGCGAGCTGGAGCTGGAGGAGGACCTGTACGCCAAACTCATCTTCCTTTACCGCTCGCCAGAGACCATGATCAAGTGGACGAGGGAGAAGACCAAATGAGCCTGCTGGGATTGCCTTAAAACCCAAAGGATGCTGCTTCTCGCAGGAAGGCGGCTCGTCGGGACAGGTTCGACTGCCAATACAATGAGACCTACAGCTGTACCAAAGAGCCCTGATTCAGAAGCTGCCACGACCAATGGGATCTTTAATGAGCTCTAGCGCCACCTGTCTGTCGGGAGATTGGTTAGTCGCGCATTGTGCAATATGCTGTCCTGGTAGCTGGCCGTAAACTTGAACAAAGAAAGGAGACGGTGACTGAACACTAGCCAATTTTTTCTTCAGAGAAAACTGGACCCAGAAGTGCTTGGGTTTCTAAGACTATGTAACACTGAAATCATGATCTATCCTAGCTTGAACGAAGGACTGAAAGGTTCTCAGGAAGAGTATCCGCGCTTCAGGACGTCACGTTGCTGACACCTCGCCGTGATTGTGGATCAATATCATGAGCATAAAGCACATGCTGGAAACCAACTATTGTCTTATTTGTCCCGTCTACCTGTTGCACTTTTAGTTTTCGTTACGTGCATTTCAAGGACCATTTTGTATGCATTAAAAAGTCTACAGAAACTCGGATCTAAAATATGCAAAAAATCACAGATTCTCTTTATTCAGTGGCGTTGTGAAACCATGCAAATCCAGAATTAACAGAAATTGTTCCCTGCGATTTTAAAGCACACCTTTCTCCATTAAAACAAAAAATAAACTAAGATTGAGTTTCTCATGTTCAGATAATCTTAAGGCATTTCATGCATTTCATGCTCCATATGACAAGACTAATATTGTTTAAACTTATTCCACTAAACTTAAAGCTACAAACACAGTGTACAGTAAATACATTCCCTCTTTTGGTAAAGCAGGCACTGTTATTTAATTTCCAACATATAGAATATATGTAGTATAATATAGTATAATTTAAAACGATGTGTAGTATTCCAGCACTACTCAAAATGTTTGAAATACTGCACATATAAAGACTGAGCTCCTGATTCACCCACAGAAGGTCCCACTGAACCGTAAAGCTGTTTGTCAGGTTTGGGTTTTTGAAGTTTGTTTCCACCATGCAATAAAAAAAATTAAGGTAATTGCAACTTTTTTTTAAATCTCACAATTTTGACTTTTTTTTTCCCCCATCGCAATTCTAATCTCTTTTAGTTTTTATTTGAAGTCTGTTTTTCATGGAATTCTGACTTTTTATCCCTTCAGAATTCTACATCTTGCAATTCTGCTATTCTGTTGTTTTTCTTTGTATGTTCAACGGCAATTCTGCATTTGCAATTCTTCGTTTATACAGAAGAAAGCGCTGAATTGTGAGATAGAAAGTCTACCTTAATTGTCTTTATTTATTTCGTTTATCACATGGCAGAAACAAGCTTCCATATGGGTTTGCCTGAAAACACCTGAGAAAACAAATGTACATTTTAACATGAGTTTTGGAAGGCAAACCTAAATAAATATGCATACTTAAGAGAGGATGACGTTGCATGAACGTGCTGCTTACATGTGAGGCCTAGCATGGGTTTCTCTGAAAGCTTCTTGAAACACAAACCCCTCCAGTACAGGAATCTAATGTTTAGGGAGCATGCATGCACCTTCATGGAGGAGTCTGAAGCAGCAGATGTGGAATATGTTTGGTTTTAGGTTTAACAGAGGCCTCCAGCGTACTCATCCTCCTCTTCCTCCGGCGGCGCGGCTCCTGAATCTCCAGCGGCAGCAGCAGCAGCAGCTTTCTTCTTCCCTCCTCCAGGCACCGTCAGGCTGAGGGCAAGCTTTGCATACTGGAGAACATGCGAGACGACAGTGTGCTCAAATGCTTCTGTCAGCGAGTTATGAAATCTCATTAACACTTCAGTATGTTCAGCATGCACTCTGCCCTGATGACTGACTGAAGCATGTGGACTTAACTAGCTAATATGAAAATATGAACGAGATCATTCACAGACTGATGTCTTATTGATACATAAGCACAACAACCTGTTTATTTCTAAGGGCTGAAATGATCAATTATGACTGACGTTATAGGGGGACTGAAAGGAAATAAACTACTGGAGAGTTTCTCTACACTACTGTAACATGCAAATGTTTTTGATGACAAACCTGGCAAACTCTTGAAAGGGTGAGTGAAACAAATAGGAGATAATGAAAAGATTAGAAAGACAAAAAAACTAACTAAAAACTAAAGGTAACTGTGCTCTGACGGACAGCTAAGATGCAACAAACTGACAAAATGCAATTAATAATAATAAAAATGTCATAACCTTTATGTGATTTTTTTTTCAATAGAAATAAAGTTCACACATTTAAGGCAAGACACTACAGGCACAGATATTGTGAGCTTTTGCTTCCGTGTTTTCTTTCAGACTAGTGCAAAGAAATCATCCAAAATACAGAAGCATTTATTTTATTGAACTTTATCTATTTGCTTCTGCAGATTTCAGTTTCAATAAATACCTTTAAAGGTGTTTTCTCAAAATGAATCAGAAATCTACACTTACATGCCTATATTCTTAAGGTTTTTACAGAGGGATTTGTTCATATATCATTTTGCCTGGTTTTATGATTGCACTTTTATCTATTTGCATCTGAAGATTTCATTTTTCTTTTCTCTTACACCAAACTTTACAGTTTTCTTTATCAATATAGATGGGTTTTACTGAGGGGTTGTTCATATATATTATATTATACATCACATATTCTGATTTATAGAACACTTTATTCCAAAAAAAAAAAAAAAAGGGGGGAGAATGTTTTTTTTTTTTGTCCGTTTACAGTATTTTTCCATGGCCACGCAGTCCTCGCTCCCGCTGAATCCTGGGATGCTGTAGCTCTCCCGCACGCACTTCTCTGCCGCCACATAGTCTCTTCTGTGCAGATGCACCAGCACTTGTGCGATCGTTTTCTGAGCACAAAAACAGGACAGTCATGTGTGGTAATGCACCTGTGACTGCAAAGGCTTTACAGCTCAGTAATACTGACGCACCTTAAAACACGTCGGATAATTCTCGATTTCTTTATACATGTTCTTCTCCTTCTGAAGGGACACGGCAGCTTCATCAAACCTGTAATCAGCATCACTCATCTTGTATTAAACTAATTTACATTCAGTCATTTAGCAGACGCTTTTATCCAAACAACAGAAGCAATCAGAACCAACAAGAGCGCAATGATAATAAGTGCTATGACAAGCCTAACGCAGCACACATAGCAAGGTGTTTTTAAATCAATAAAATAAAACAAGTAGATAAAATAGAAATAGAATTAGTGTTAGAGGCCCAAGTGTAGAATAAATACAAATTCCATTTTGGTACAAAATCAAGTCGAATCAACGCATCGCATGTACAACAATAAAACACGCACAAAAACAATACACTCATCTAATACTGGATATTCTGGATTTACAGCTAAGAATCTAGTCTAATTCACTCAGAGCATGCTTTACACTGATATTATATGTGACCCTGGATCACAAAAGCAGTGTTGAGTCGCTGGGGGATATTTGTAGCAATAGCCAACAATACATTGTATGGGTCAAAATTATACATTTCTCTTTTATGCCAAAAATCATTAGGATATTAAGTAAAGATCATGTTCCATGAAGATATTTTGTAAATGTCCTACCGTAAATATATCAAAACTTAATGTTTGATTAGTAATATGCATTGCTAAGAACTTCATTTGGACAACTTTAAAGATGATTTTCTCAATATTTAGATTTTTTTGCACCTCTCAGATTCCAGATTTTCTAATAGGTGTATATCAGCCAAATATTGTCCGATCCTAACAAACCATACATCAATGGAAGCTTATTTATTCAGCTTTCAGATGATGCACACATCTCAATTTAAAGAAATTGACCCTTATGACTGGTTTTGTGCTCCAGGGCCACATATGACAAGTTGTTTTTAATACAAACTAATAAACTAGATGACTGACTAAAATGAAAATTCAAGTAAGAATAAAGCAACAATTACTTCCGTTGTCTAACAAGAAGTCTGGAAGCTTTGCCGACGAGCTCCACTGCTTGCCGCAGTCGCTCCTCGTTCTGAGAAAACAAGAAAGGACATGAATGTTTGTTTGTAGCTGGTCCTAATGCATGCGGCATTTGGCGGAGCCGCTACGAACCTCGAACACCCCTGCTGCCTGCTGGTACAGATGAACGGCTTTCGCCAAATCCAGAGCTTCAATCAACCTGCAAGTGACTGACTAAAATGAAAATTCAAGTAAGAATAAAGCAACAATTACTTCCGTTGTCTAACAAGAAGTCTGGAAGCTTTGCCGACGAGCTCCACTGCTTGCCGCAGTCGCTCCTCGTTCTGAGAAAACAAGAAAGGACATGAATGTTTGTTTGTAGCTGGTCCTAATGCGTGCAGCGTTTGGTGGAGCCGCTACGAACCTCGAACACCCCTGCTGCCTGCTGGTACAGATGAACGGCTTTCGCCAAATCCAGAGCTTCAATCAACCTGCAAGCAACAAGATCAGCGGCTCGTTAACTGCTCTGAAGAACTAGTCACATGTAACGGAATCACGTCATTTAATTACACAATAAATGTAACTGCAATCGATTACAGCTACTGAGGAAAAAAATTGTTACTATGAAAATGTTAAGAACTACAAAAGAATCTGAATTTGATTCACATACACACCCACATACAGGTTTAATTGACTTCTTTCATAAATTGCATTGACTGCTTTAAAATATGAGACACCAATGTTTTCAGTACTTTAGTACCGTTTTATTTCCTATTTGGATTAATGCATTTGCTTTATTTTTTAAGATCAACTTGTTTTTTTCTAAGCTATTGTTAGATGCCAGTGTTGCAAAGTATGCAAACATTTTATTTCAAAAACATCATAGCTATCAATCTATTTCTCGTAATGGTTTTAAATCTTTATTTAACCTCAGAATGATCTCAAAGTCAGTCTGATTTTGTGGTGGCTGTGCTTTAAAATGATATTATCACAATCTAAATACAAGTGATGAAGGATTGCGAAAGTCTGACGGTGTTGAGAGCTACCTGGCTTACATGTTTTAAAAACGATTAACAGTTAAAAACATTAGAAGACATAAGAAATTTGGAAAAGTAATCAGTAGGGATGCACGATATTATCGGACCGATATGAACAATTATGCCGATATGTCTTGCCCATAAGAGGAATTAAAACGCTGTTGGCCTACTTTTAATAAAATGAAAGTAAAATACACAAATAACATTTAGACTGTTTCTCTGATTAAATAAAGCAGTAATTGATGCCATAAAATCATGAGAAAGTTTTAATTTTAAAGGTCAGAAGCTATTAGCTTACATAAATAATAAAAAAAAAAAAAAATCACAGACATGACACTTGCAAATTAAATAATATTATATATACTGATTTATTCATTAATGTGTAATATGTTATATTTTTTAAACAAATTATGATATTTTTTACACCATGTTGAATCTTAAAATGAAATGTTAAGGTTACTGCTGCATCTTTCTGAAGAAACAAATGCAGCGATTGATATATAGTTTATTTATAGTTATTTGCAAAGCTTCAATGTACTGTCATTATAAAAGAACTTCATTATTGTTTATTTAATTCTAACAAATAAGTTCTTGTTAAAAACTAACCAAAATTAAAACTAATTTGCTTATAATTTCCACACAGGAGAGACTTGGTGTTGTTTCCAAACAAAAGGAAATATATCGGTATCGGCATCGGTCACAATGAGTTGAAAAATATCGGCAAAAATCCAATATCGTGCATCCCTAGTAATCAGTTGCATTACTTTAATAAAGTAATTTTAAAAATTACACTACTTATTTCTTTTTAAATAGGGTAACTTGTAATCTGTAACCTATTACATGTCCAAAGTAACCTTCCCAACACTGTAAGCAGGTTTGTGAAGCACACACTTTCCGGCTCGGTCGAGGGCCATGGCGGCGGTGTCTGGAGTGCCGTTCTCCACGTACATCATGCTGGCCTTCTCTATGTACTGCACAGCTTCAGGCAACCTCTGCATGTCCTGCGACAGAACAGCAAACACACACACATCTCAATCATGCTCACAGTTCATATATACACACACACACACACACACACATACATACAGTACATGTGTCAAAAACGTTAAGATGTCCGCATCAAAATAAATTTACAAAAGTGATTTTATGTCCATAGAAAGCACATTAAATGTAAGTAAAGTGTCTACTTTTAAGGTTTCAAATCACACACACATCTCAATCATGCTCACAGTTCATACACACACACACACACACACACACACATACATACAGTACATGTGTCAAAGACGTTAAGATCAAAGATCAGTCCGCATCTAAATAAATTTACAAAAGTGATTTATGTCCATAGAAAGCACATTAAATGTAAGTAAAGTGTCTACTTTTAAGGTTTCAAATCAAATGTCAAAATATGGTTGAAATAATGCTACATCGTCATTCAGTGTAACACAATATTTATGTAAAAATTCAACATCATGCTTATTCTGATGTGTACATATTAAAATATATAAAAGAATAAGAGAGCATATTCAATTTGATTGTGTTTTAAATGAGTTAAACATTCTTACTGACCAAATGGGCAAAACCTAGGATAGTGGCACATTTTAAAAATGTAAAATTACAACCAATTAGTATCTGGGGTGAAAGTAATTAGTCTTTTAATGTCATAAATTGATTTTTATTGTAAATATGCCTGACAAGAATGCTACACTGAATGACAATTTAGTGGGTCTCTTCTGTAAATCAGGGAAAAATTTATATTTATTTTTTGCTCAGAAAAACAAAAATGCAATTAAATTAAACGGAAAACTTTTTAATTTGTTTTTAAACAACAATTTAAAGCAGTATTACACTTACTGTTTTTATGCTTAAACCCTTTTCGTCTTTGACACATAAAAAAAATCTAAATAAAAAAAACTACATCTTAATATAATTTTTAGTATATTAGTGATACTAAAGTAACACTGCTTGAGAGACAGACACAGTAACGCAGGACAGTCCCACACTCACTCATGTTGAGGGCTGCCATTCCTCCCTGTGGGCCGGCGGGGTACACGGTGGGGACGCTGGTGGTCATGAAGTCAGCGATCTGCTGCAGCGCAAGTAAACTGGTGGGGTTTTTCCCCTTCTTCATCTGATCCTGGATCAGAGACTCCAGCTCATCACAGAACGCCTGAAACACACAAAACACGCAATTACAACCAGAACTACACGGTTGCTAGGTGGTTACCAAGTCAACAGCATCACATTCTAGATATGGCTAAACATGCTGCATGACTTCAGGATACATTTGTGTCTGTGGCAAAAACTTTGTTAAAATGTAATTACTTACTATTGCTTTAGCATCACTAATCACTATATATGAAGACCATTAGCTGGACGAATACAGCTCTTAAGTCAGGACTAAAGAGCAGCTAATGTTAGAGTGACACGCTGAACACACAATGGAGAAAGAGAGAGAGATAATGACACAGGCTGGTACCGTCAAGCACCGTTAAAAATTTATAAATGTATGTTAACAAGAACATGAAACACTTTCTACAGGCCGGCATCTGGAGTCTAAAAGCAACCCACATATCAGTGACTTATTCATAAAGTGGCTCATACAGTACATAAAAATCCACTTTAAATGCTGTATCAATGCTTGGGTCTCAAACTGTTGTACCAGGAATCTCAAAACTTGAAATACAGGTACAAAATTTTTTATATATCTATAAATAAAATACTGAAAAAAAAAAATATATATATATATATATATATATTAGAGGTCGACCGATAGTGGATTTTGCCAATACCGATATTTAAACAAATTATGATATTTTTTACACCATGTTGAATCTTAAAATGAAATGTTAAGGTTACTGCTGCATCTTTCTGAAGAAACAAATGCAGCGATTGATATATAGTTTATTTATAGTTATTTGCAAAGCTTCAATGTACTGTCATTATAAAAGAACTTCATTATTGTTTATTTAATTCTAACAAATAAGTTCTTGTTAAAAACTAACCAAAATTAAAACTAATTTGCTTATAATTTCCACACAGGAGAGACTTGGTGTTGTTTCCAAACAAAAGGAAATATATCGGTATCGGCATCGGTCACAATGAGTTGAAAAATATCGGCAAAAATCCAATATCGTGCATCCCTAGTAATCAGTTGCATTACTTTAATAAAGTAATTTTAAAAATTACACTACTTATTTCTTTTTAAATAGGGTAACTTGTAATCTGTAACCTATTACATGTCCAAAGTAACCTTCCCAACACTGTAAGCAGGTTTGTGAAGCACACACTTTCCGGCTCGGTCGAGGGCCATGGCGGCGGTGTCTGGAGTGCCGTTCTCCACGTACATCATGCTGGCCTTCTCTATGTACTGCACAGCTTCAGGCAACCTCTGCATGTCCTGCGACAGAACAGCAAACACACACACATCTCAATCATGCTCACAGTTCATATATACACACACACACACACACACACATACATACAGTACATGTGTCAAAAACGTTAAGATGTCCGCATCAAAATAAATTTACAAAAGTGATTTTATGTCCATAGAAAGCACATTAAATGTAAGTAAAGTGTCTACTTTTAAGGTTTCAAATCAGTTTTTGGAGAATAAAATATCAAAATTTGGTTGAAATAATGCTACATCGTCATTCAGTGTAACACAGTATTTATGTAAAAATCCAAACAACATGCTTATTCTGACGTGTACATATTAAAATATATAAAAGAATAAGAGAGCATATAAAATTTGATTGTGTTTTAAATGAGTTAAACATTCTTACTGACCAAATGGGCAAAACCTAGGATAGTGGCACTTTTAAAAATGTTAAATTACAACCAATTAGTATTTGTGGTGAAAGTAATTAGTCTTATAATATGTCATAAATATGCCTGACAAGATTGTTACAGAATGACATTTTAGTGGCTCTCTTCTGTAAATCAGGGAACATGTATGATATTTATTTTTTGCTCAGAAAAACAAAAACAAAATTGCAATTAAATTAAACAGATTTTTTTTTGTTGGAAAAACAACAATTTAAAGCCGTATTTAACTTATTGTTGTTATGCTTAATCCCTTTTTCGTCTTTGACGCATATATATAGTCAACAGCAAATCTGAATGATTGGAATGCAAGTCGAACTCAAGAATCCCTTAAGAAACAAACAGCACTCACCTTCAGCATCATCCCTGCCTGCTCGAAGGCCCTGCATGCAAACACTTACCATTATAACAAAGAGCAAATTCATACAAATCAACGATTTGCACAATTAAAGGGTTAGTTCATCCAAAAATGAAAATCAGTCCATAAATTGTGCATATGTTTGATTATAGATGCACAGGAGACACAAAAATATACAAAGAATTAAAAATACCAGTACATGGTTGGCATTTCTTTAATAAACATTTGCCAAAGGGGGGGGGTCATCTTCATACAAAAAGACATTGTTGCTCATCTCCTCGAAGTCAGTTAAACGTCTCTTTACTTTCAGTTTTACAACGGCTATAGACGAGAGCCGGCAGGAGCGTTGATCCGTTCACTCGTTCAGCAGATTCAGCAGCTCAGTCGAGAAGTGCTACCAGTCTCTCCGGAGTCCTTCACAAGCCCCTCCAGCGAACTACCCTTGCCACAGAGCCCGTAATTGCTGAATCATTAGAAATGAAGAAAGAAAAAAAAAAACAACGGACCAAAAAAGTAAAAAGAAACGACTTCCATTACTGGTCCTGTACGTGTGCAGATACAGCTTGTTTCCACCTACTTTGTTCAGTAGTGCAAAACTTCATCGTAATACTAGTCTGTCCTTACGCAGTTAAAGGTCATTAAAACACGTACCCTGTATTTTAAATGCACACTCAAAAAAGGTACAGTTTTAATTTAAAAGACAGCAGTAGAGTAGATTACAAAAGTCAATCGGAGGGGAAACGGTAACAGCTCTATGAAACGGTACGAGCGGGAAATGCAAAAATTCCCATCCCAACAGCTCGCCCTCCAAGCGGTTCCTCGAGTGCCCTCGGGCTTCTTCGAAATCTTACAAATCCAGTTCTGAGACTCTTAGTGCGGGTCGAGGGCAACTGCGTGCGTCTTTTGGGCTGATGATACATGGGGCAACTTTTTGAGCAATTTTGCAGGGTGCTTTTTTTGAGCAATGTTGCTTGGCCACTTCCCCATTGAGAACGGGTAGCACACATTTCTATCGGGATACTTTAGATGGGTCGTGGGCCCTGTGTCACCTGGTCGCCCGCTGAAAGCAACATTAAAAGGTTAGTTCACCCAAAAATTAAAATTATGTCATTAATTACTCACCCTCGTGTCGTTCCAAACCTGTAACACCTTCAGAACACAAATTAAGATATTTCTGATGAAATCCGAGAGCTTTCTGCATAGACTGCAATGCAACTGAAATGTTCCCAGGTCCAGAAATGTAGCAAGGACATCGATAAAACAGTCCATGTGACATCAGTGGCTCAACTTCAATTTTTGCGAAGCTACGAGAATACTTTTTGTGAGCAAAGAAAACAATAATAGCATGCATGTGCTTTATCCTGAACATAAACAGCGCTGATTACGTTCTGGGGTACTCTCCAAAATGTTGGAAGACAGTAACTCGGGGAAAAGAATTGTTGAATAAATTGTTATTTTTGTTTTCTTTGCACGCACAAAGTATTCTCATATCTTTGCAAAATTGAAGTTGAGCCACTGATGTCACATGGACTGTTTTATCGATGTCCTTGCTACGTTTCTGGACCTGGGAACATTTCAGTTGCATTGCAGTCTATGCAGAAAGCTCTCGGATTTCATCAAAAATATCTTAATTTGTGTTCTGAAGGTGTTACAGGTTTGGAACGACATGAGGGCGAGTAATTAATGACAGAATGTTTGGGTGAACTAACCTTTTAACCAAAGTTGCCTAGCAACATTGCTCAAAAAATTGCCCCGTGTATCATCAGAATTAGTCTTCCTTTTCCAAGGCGTCTGGAAGTTCGTCAGGATCCGGTCAAAAAGGGAGTCCTCTGCCCCGAAGCGCGGCCGTGTTCACGTGGGGAACGTACCCGAGCGGAAGGGATTGGGATGGAGAAGTCCAGACTTGGCCCGGAGGGGCCGGTGCCGGTCCGCTGTGATTGTACTCGAAGCGATGGTCCTTGTCTCCGCTGAACACCGCGCCGGCTCCGTGAGTGAAGGTCTCCGGGCCGAGAGGCAGCTGAGGGGGCATCATGTGGCCGAGGTAGCTGTCTGGGAAGCCAAACGGCGGCGGGGGGCAGCTGAAGTCTGGCTCCGAAGGTCTGGGAGCTTCTCCTGGGGCTGCGAAGGACGGCAGAGCCGGATTGGTCTTGGGGGCCTGCCGGTAGTCCAGGTCTGCGCAGGGAGGCGGTTCTGGAGGTTCTGGGGGTCTCTGGTCCGGCGGGAGAATGGAGAGAGGCTCTAGAGGCCTGGAGGACGAGCCGCTGGCTTCAGCTGCTGCAAGAAACACAACCGCAGGAGCTTATCAGGGGCTGCAGCCCAAATCACATACTTCTGAGAAGCACCATACATTACATTTACACTGGTGGCTAAAATTATTAGAAAGAGCTAAAAAAGAGATCTGATCCTCATCAGTCTGTCTGGAGTCACATGAAGAAACAGAACAAACTGAGACAGACTGTGTCTCAAAGACGCTTCAAGAAACCTCCTGCAAAGCTACAGTACTGTTAAAAGTTTGAGGCACTTGTGTAAAAATGGTGTAAAATGAGGATGCTATTGTTATGTCAACAATAGTGTCATAAATAGATTTTCTTTATCAATTAACTTCTATTAACTAGATTAAAACAACATCTGGTATGAGCATCCTCTGTGTTTAAAGCAGCTTTTTGCCCTACACTAGTTTTTCATGTAGCTTTGCAGGTAGGTTTTTGAAGCCTCTTGGAGACGTTGCCACAGACAGACTGGATGATGATCAGATCAGAACTATAGCCTAATTCACAGTATTCTTCAAACAGTAAGCAAAAAATACCCAGATGACCTACTACTTCCACCGAGATTCTGCAGTGTGCATCCAGTGGACATTTATCTTATTGGCTAAAGGAGACAATCTGTGAATCAAAGTGAAACGAAGCCGGTAGGTCGCAGCAATGATGACATGACCAATGCAATACATCCAGATTACATTCATACTATATGTGATGTGATCTAGGAAAACCCGTCGGATGTCGCGCTGGGACGTTTTCAGGAAATTAAAAAAATAGGTTGAATGTCAATTTGTCGTCAAAATTGCTTTTTCATTAAATTATTATTCTATAACATCTCGTCTATCATCTCTGAAAATATGTTGCCAAAATTAACCGTTTAGTGCAGAAAAATAGTGATTTATTGTGGCTAGCATTAAAGACGGTCTTTCTCTAGTTCGCTAATATGCACTGTGGAGGAGCTTTCCCTTGACACTACAAAGACAGTTCACCTATCAAAATAAACTATGTAATAAAGGTGTATCAATGCATTTTCCGCTAGTCTT